CCCCAAAACCCCAAAACCCCAAAACCCCAAAACCCCAAAACCCCATAGCTATTAAATTATATAGAATGATCATGGAAGAGAAAAAGAAAAGAAAGAAGGCTGTCCCGATTGAAATCATCCCTGATAAGCTTTACTGGATCTCGGATAAGGACCCACCCAGAAGTAGCAGCTCTGCCTACTACTTCTGCATCGACGATGCGCTGGTGTACAATCCCTTCTGGAAAGACTTTGGCCCATTGAACATGGCCATGATGCATAAGTTTTGCAAGGAGTTGGAAAAACTAATGAAGAGCAAGAAATACAACAAGTATAAGATTTACCACTACACCTCAACAGATAAGGAGAAACAAGCAAATGCTGCCTTTCTGATGGGTGCATTTATGATCATCGTCCTGAAGTACAACGCTGGTAAAGCTTGGGAGGTTTTCAAGGAGAGCGGCATATCTTTCAAGCCCTTCAGAGATGCGATCATGGGCGAGTCCACTTACAAATGCACTATTAAGGACTGCCTGAACGGACTCTATTTCGGAATCCAGCTCGGCTGGTATAACTATGAGACTTTTGACACTAAAACTTATGAGAAATTTGAGAAAGTAGAGAACGGAGATATGAATTGGATTGTCCCTGAAAAGTTCCTAGCATTCGCTGGCCCTGCTAGTAAAAAGTACGATGAGGATGGCTATAGGCAGTATACCCCAGAGGACTATAACCCCATCTTCAAAAAGTTCGGAATTGACCTTGTAGTTAGGTTAAACAAGAAGAAGTATGATGAGACAATCTTCTCCGAAGGTGGCTTCGAGCATCTTGATATACCATTCGAAGATGGAACTATCCCTCCACAGGATGTAATTGACAAATTCTTAGAGAGAGCCGAAGATACATCTGGAGGAATTGCAATCCATTGCAAGGCTGGCCTTGGAAGAACAGGGACTCTTATTGGACTTTACTGTATGAAGCACTACGGATTTCCTGCTGCTGCTTTTATTGGATGGGCTAGAATCTGTAGGCCAGGATCTGTGCTTGGACCCCAGCAACACTACCTCAACGAGATCGAAGAGGAGATGATGACACAGGGAGATAGCTTATATAAGAAGGAAGAACTTATCTCAGAAATGAGCGAGATGACCCTTGAAGATAAGAAGCTTGAGATGTCTCCTGATGAGAAGAGAATCAGAGAAAAAGGAGATAAGGGACAAGCTAAAAGACTCAAAGAGCAAAAAAGAAAGCATAACTTCTAAACATCTGCACCAGATCAGTCTTCTTCCACTCGCTCTGCTACAAAGGCCCTTGGTCATTGAAGAATCCCCTGTCAGCCAGTTGAATAGGTTAAGTTAAAATTATGCTTCCAGTGATGAGTTGGCTTGTTTTAGAGGATATTTTAGGAAGGATTTGGGGTACAGTAGCAGAACAAGTCAGCCCAAGTGAAGGCTCTATTCAAGAGACCGAAGCTTGAGCGCTGAAGGTCTTTTCTGTGAAGTAGGAAGAGGGATTTTGTGCGGAGGGATCAACCTGGGTGGGAATTGAAGGGGTTTTGGGGTTTTGGGGTTTTGGGGTTTTGGGGTTTTGGGGTTTTGGGGTTTTGGGG